TAACCTCTAACCATCGTCCAAACCAGGGTGAACGCTAAACCCTAACCTCTAACCATCGTCCAAACCAGGGTGACAGTCCTAACATTAACATATTCTATCTTTTTTCGGATGCGTGTGAATTGAAGCCTTGGCGAGTACCCAGCCTCCTTCTCACCTTATCGGAAAAAACGGGTGTGCGACATCCGAACCCTCTGTTCGCCGTCATGTAGCAATACTGCATGTCATCATTGGGAGTTGATTTCTTGGACCTTTCTAAACATTGTGGCTCTCTTTTTCTTAACAACTCGTCCAGGTACGCGTCTGTCTCTTTGGGGGGTACTTGCATCTGGTCATACCTGTTTTTTCTTTTTTCTTTTCTTTTCAAAGCCGTGTGATGTACGGCATCTTGCACGGTTTGGTGGGCAGTGGATTGTCATTAGCAAAACCAATTCGCAATTCCCCAACAAACAACCTGCAGACTCCCAACGAGGATTTTTTTATTTATTTTATTTTTATTTTTTTTGTTTGTTTGTTTTGTTTGTTTGTTTTGTTTGTTTGTTTGTTTGTGATCAGCCATCTGAAATCGAATATAGATTTTGGAAACAAGAGTTCAACTCTCGTTTATCTTCTTCGTTTGGTGGATTTCTGTGCTTTATTTTTTATTTTATTTTTTGGGTGCTACCATGGCACCCGTGCTTTTTTATCAATTCTTAGCTCACAGAGAAGTTTTTTTGCTGCTGGGGCCCCTTTCTTTAATTTTCTCTCATTTTATTTGTGGAGCATTTTTGTTTCTCGACATACGCCTGTTATCCTTGTCAGGGGCCATCGTGCCCCTTTCTTTAAAGGTACGATAATACCTAATATTCTAGGCTACCAGAGTGGCCCGGGTCCACTTGCCCGGCCGGGCCAAAAAGAAATAAAATAAAAAGTATTTTTTATTTAAATTTTTATTTTTAATTTGGTAAAGAATTTCGATGTGACCCTGAGGCAAAAGTTGTTCAGTTTATTTTTCTGCATAACATAGTTTTTTTTCGGATTTTTTGGATTTCCAACAAAAAAAAAAAATGGTTAAAAAACCAGCAAAAAAAAAAAAGCACAGCAAGCGCACTGCAATTACACCCTTTTTTTTATATGTTTTATGAAATTTATGTATTATTTATGTGAACGTTATCAATTTCATTGCAGATCCGTTGTCTACAATCATTCTTCTGTGCTCAAGACAGGCCCTCGATGCACACTCCCCTATCCAAGCGTGTCACCACCAGTATTTGGCCCAGCCATCAGCAGCGGGAAACAATATACTAGAAACATTTCTAGTCAGATGAGTTTGGACGCTCCTGGAGTGGCTCGTATGTTTCCTAAAATTGTGGCTTGTTAACCGACACGACTTTAGGAAGTACTGGTGGGGTGTAAACCCACCATTCCAACACCCACTATTCTCATTTGTTCTTGTTGTCTAACAAGTACCTGTGCAAAATCTACCGGTCGGTGGGGAAAGGAACCACAACTATTTTCCCTCACCACGCCACTGTAGATTTTATGCTTGGGGGGAAATGCAACCTTCGGTTTCGGATGCACTGCTGGTTTATACCACCGGTGGTTGGTTTCCCATCCAGTTTTAGACACACAGCATGACACAGCATGCCCGCCGCGACAGTGTGTGTTTTGCAATGGCTGTGTGAAATTTACTGTTGGTTTAGACTTTAAACTTTAAAGTTTAAAGTTTAAACCACTACTCCATCCGGTTCAAATAGCTTCTAGCTTGAAAAAAGCTACAAAATGGAAAGTGGAAAGACACTCGCCGTTTCTTTTTCCGTTCTTTTTGTACATTGGGAGAGAGTGATGGAGCGAGGACCATGATGTACCCTAACGCAAGTGTGGATAGAATTGTCGACTGCTCTGAGAGTGTTGAAATGGAAAATTAATAAATTATGGAATTCGTTTTGTTTTGTTTTTTTCGCTTTTTTACTGTGCCTCCAGACTGGTCTGCTAGGCCTGTGAAAACTTTTAGTAAACTGCTTAGGTGTGCGCAACGCGCTGGAATATTCTTTCTTTAGCAGAACGCGAAAGAGGATCGGCATGTGCCTATGCATATTGAGCTGGTCATGCGTACGTAGTTTCAATGTAACTGACTCGGCGTGTATCTGTACGTGGGATAGTTAAGAGGATGGGCATTTGTATGTAAGCTGCTTAGTTGTACTCAGATGGAGCTGGGGTTTCGATGCAGGGCAGACCGATATTCAGCACGACTGTGGGAGAGGAGACTGCAATCTGCAAGCTGTCGCGTGGATGTGTCAGCGCGCTTTCGCATTCTACTACTACGTCTTCCAAACCCGCTGGCACTTCCACCGCATTTGCAGACAGACTGCTCCTTGCGCTCAAGCCACGTGATCCTCGGCCATGCTCCGAGAGTCTGATGCGCGAGGCCCTTCGATCTATCTGTGCACTTCTGCGATGGCGCTGGCTCTTCCGTGCAAGCCTTCTCTCCGCAGGGCTTGTTAACGTACTGCAGGGCATAATCCGACAAGGTGGGGGTGTTCATTCCACCGGCAGCTCCGGCGACACAGCATCGACAGTCAACGAGGAGGGGGGTGGAGGATCGCGTCGGCGAGTCGGAGGAGGACACGCAACATCAAGGTGCCAGCATTCACAGGTCTGGCCACAGCTATGGCGAACGGTGGCCTGGCTCGGACTCTCGGCTGAGGGAGGTGGTCCCGCAGGTAAAGGCTTACGCCAAGACACCAGGGTGAATGAGAGAAAAGCCGCAGAAAGCCAGGAGCTGGAACTCGGCGCACTACCTGACCTTCTCTGGTGAGTGGAAAACCAGTTCCCCCTTCGCACCTCAATCGTCAACACTCTTTGCACCTATCTCAAGGAAAAAAAGGTGAGGGGGATGAGGGAGAGAGGGGAGGCAGGAGAGAGGGGAGGCAGGAGAGAGGGGAGGAGGGAGAGAGTGGAGGGGGAGGAGGGAGAGAGCGGAGGGGGAGGAGGGAGAGTGGAGGTGAGGAGGGGGAGGGCAGGAGGGAGAGAGGGGAGGAGCAGAGAGGGGAGGAGGGGAGGRGGGRGAGAGGGGAGGGAGAGGGGATAAGAGGGAGAGAGGGGAGGAGGGAGGAGAAAGAAACATGCTGCTGACAAACATCTCATGAGTCATGAAACATGGAAAGAAAAACACAGTTTTTGCAACTTTCAAACAAACAGTGCTGAGCGGAGAGGAGGGAGAGAGGGCAGGAGGGAGAGAGGGCAGGAGGGAGATAGGGCAGGAGGGAGAGGGGAGAAGAGGGAGAGAGGGGAGGAGGGAGGAGAAAGAAACATGGTGCTGACAAACATCTCATGAAACATGAAAAGAAAAACACAGTTTTTGCAACTTTCAAACATACAGTGCCAGACACTATATACACAAAACTCGAACGAGTTCTTCCTCCTATTCCACAACAATATTTGAAAACACAGCAGCATGAAAGAAGCACATCGTTGGGAGGTCACAGCTACTGAAAGAAAAAAGCCAGACATCGTGGAAAACTCAGCATCTTTCCATTTCTATGCTCTGCCTGTCTAGGGTGTAGTCATAGTTTTGAGCAGAGTTGAAAAGCCAGCTATTACAGACGCTTTACGGCCAATCTCTTGGGTACACTCAGCAATCACAAATTGGACAGTATTTGAGAACCCGGGAAGTTCATTTGATGCAAAAATGGTCTCCAAAGTCTTGTCAGTACAGAGGTATCCTTTCCAGTACCATTTCCACGTGTTCCCAGTACAGTATCGTTTTGTTGTTTTTTTAACACTGACTCCGCCCCAGTAGTAAACATCTCCCCCGATGAGGAGAAGGCAGCTTTTAGGGGGAAAAAAAAGAAAAACAATTATGCCATTGGCTCCTGTCAAATGGTGGGGACTATCACCTGCTGACAACCGTGTAACAGAGGAGAAGGCATTCTGAGTACAGAGTAACGGTTCCATTATATTAGTATTAGTATTAGTATTAGTATTAGTATTAGTATTTGAAGTACCGTCTCCGCTTGTCTCCTGTACCGAGTTTCCCCTCTTTTCCACTACCGTCTTCCCCCGAACATAACGCACTCTTACAAAGAATGTATACACTCTCTTTCCGTAGCCATACAGTCAAAATGAGGGTGCGTTGTGCTCGGGGGAAGACGGTAGTTTCCAGTTCCAGTATAGTTCCCACTCGTTCCCTGTATCGTTTCCACTTGTCTCCAGTTCCATTGCTGTCTTCCACTTGTTTGCACTTCCGTTTCCACTTGTTTCCAGTTCCAGTATCGTTCCCAGTACCATTCCAGTTCCAGTATAGTTTCCACTCGTTCCCAGTACCAGTATCGTCTCCACTTGTCTACAGTTCCAGTGTTGTTTCCACTTGCATTTCGACTAGTTTCCAGTTGCAGTACAGGGATGAACTCGTTTTCAGCACTGTTTCCACTTGTTTGCACTTGCGTTCCCACGTGTTGTTTCCACTTGTTGTTTACACTTTCGTTTCCGCTTGTTTCCAGTTCCATTCCCACTGGTTTCCAGTTCCATTCCAACAGGATTCACTTGTTTGCAAATGCGTTTCCACTTGTTTCCAGTTCCATTCCCACGTGATTCGCTCGTTTTCAGTATTGTTTCCACTTGATTCGAGTACCGGCCTGTTTCCACGTGTCCAGTTTCAGTACCGTTTCCACTTGCTTCCACGAACTTTTTCCTTCATTACCAGTTCCGTCTCCACTCGTTTCAGACAGTCCTGTCCATTCTTTTTCATCTTTCTACAAGAGCTCCGCTTTCTACAAAATCAAAAAACATTCATCTGTCTGGAAAACTGTAAAACATACATGACCACAGGCCCCAACATACAAACCATAGACCGCAACATACAAACCATAGACACCAACATAGCAGCTGTCAAGTACACACCGGCACACTTTCGACCTCGCATTGGTTAACCGGACTGGCCGATGGACTCTGTACAAAAAGGTTGGTCAAAATTTTGCAGACTTGAGGGCGAATGGTGCGCACATGGAGGTTTTCAAAACCGTAATAAGGATATCGAATGCTAAAAATAGTATACACTCAGGGGAGGCGCTGGTGCCTTCATCTAAAAAGGACAGAAAAACGAATATGATCTTCCACTCAGGAAAAAACTGAAGGTGGAATGACACCGAGATTACAGCCTACTACGCACCCACAAGGAGAAAACTCTACCTGCACCCGCAAGGAGAAAACTCTACCTCTCTCCCCTCGTGGACCGTATAACATGTCAAGTGGCAGACATGCAAAGTTGCAAACAAAAGTCGAAGAAGCCACTTTTTTTTGTTGCCGCAACCATTATGTTAAGGCAATAGCCGACGTAAGACAAACAATGGGATAACATAACTCGAGCAGCGTGCTCCGCCTGACATTCTTTTGTCACCAAGCAAACATAGAATGCTTCTTCTACGGCGGGGCAGCACGACAGCCCCCGGTCCAAACAACAGCAAAAAGTAGAGAGAAAAGCGCGTAGACACACACATACACACACCCCAACACACCCCAACACACACAAACACACACACACCCCAACACACATAAACACACACACACACACACACACACACACACACACATACATTAGAGAGACAAGCGCGTAGACACACACACACACACACACACACACCAACACACACAAACACACACAAACACGCACAAACACACACAAACACACACACCTAGGCAACTCTTTACAAACACTCACGGGGGGCACGCTCGCTACCCCATAAATAGTAAAATGCATGACAGGGTTGGGGTGGATATCACAAAAAGGGCTGCTACCACCGAGCCATCACAATAACAGTAATGGCCGACAAAATGAACGAAACCTCCATCCCGCCTTGAAGCATGGATGACCGCTCGACAGCTTCGGACTGCAACTTGATCGGATCTTTCCCAACTCTCGTACGGCGTCTTTACCTGTCGCTTGTGCCGCACCAGCACTGAGAACACCAAGATGGATGCGTTATACATCTCAGACGAAAAAGGAGAAAGCTAGGTTGAGGAGAGAGCCATCTACTCCGGTGCGATTTCTCTCTCCATCGTTAAATTTCCAAGCTTGTCAACATAATTGCTGAAACAGCGAATTGACCACAACTGTGGAATCACCTAACTACTCACGGGATTGAACACCCGACCTGGGCGCCCGATCTGTTCCAGTTACAGTCGACAAGTGTGTACGTCTTTCTACTGTCCACCCCTCGTATCATCAGCACATCACAAACAGTGAAATAGTCGTTCTGAGATCGAATGAACGTGCTTTCTACTGTCCTCTCCTCGTATCATCAGCCCATCACAAACAGTGAACTAGTCGTTCTGAGATCGAATGAACGTGCTGCTGAATAGCAGCAGGCTCGTCGTCTGCTGACTCTGCTCCCCACCGGAATAGAACGAACGACCAATATCGCCGCAATGACACTCAAGGTTGCCCAAAATACGACAGCTTAGTGAGCGTGGGCACTATCCGGAGGGAAAAGGGTAGAGCATGAACTTCTGAGTCTCGACAGCCAGAACCACACTTCAGACAGAAGTCATTTACTACCTTCGTCCCGTAGATAGTGAGAGACAGCTAACTTCCCACTGCTAGTGAATGACAAAGAGCATTTCAAACTCCTTACAAAAAAGAGAGAAGAAGTCACAGCAGCATTTACAAGCCAACTCCGGTCACCACTACTTATCGAACGACTGCCAAACCCTCTACTCTCCGTCAGACCTAAGGCTCCCATCCTCACGCTACGACTTTCCGGAACGTATCTGGTCGTAATTGGGAACAGATTGGGTGGAAAGAGTCTCAGTGTGTAAAGCCGCCACCAGTTTCCAGTTTGGCTCATACACATTCGAGCTGTCCTCCCCTCTTCAGTTCACGACTTGCAAACCAACGCCGTTCTTCTAATCCCAGCCACCAAAAACCGACCAACCTCCATAATCTCCCCCTCCCCCCCCCACCACCATGGGCTTTCCCGCCTTAATGCCTATCTGTCTCGAGACACGTCCTCCTAGTAGATCCGCACTGGTTTGCACTAATCACAACCAGCCTGTCTCCGCTTTACACCTCTACTTACCGTAATAGTTTCGCGCTTATTTTCAAAACAACAACAACAAACAGTTCTTCTGCATGCAATGGGCTGCATACGAACGCCGTGCTCACCTTCTTGACCATGCAGATTGCACCGCACAGGAAGCGACGGCAAAGATATATTAAATAGTTGCTCGTTGAGTGATTCGATGCCGGGCAGCTTTTTCGAAAGAGATTCGACGCCCGGGATCTTTTTTGAAAGCCCGCGTGCAACCGAGAGTGGAAAAGTGTTCACAATTTCGGCGCGCGGCAGACCCATGCAACGGGACCAGACACCGACCCGAAGAGAGCAGAGAACTCTGGAGATACAAAAAATAATGTCTGTGGTGTCACACTCCATGAATTGATCTTAGCTACCTCAAGGAATTGATCTTAACTACCTCAAGGAATTGTAGTAGTAAACAAGCCTACAAATGTAACCAAAATACAAAAAAAAAAAAAAAAGTAACGAAAACCGGCAAAAAAAGCCACGAATTTGAAAGATAAAAAACAGATCTTTCTGTCGAGAGAACGATCTTTCTGTCCTCTCAGAAGCAGAGCGATGCAGTTGGCGATGCCAGCAAATGTGGCAGGTAACGTCCGAGCATGGCAGACGAGATATCAAAGTCTCTCTCTCTCTCTCTCTCTCTCTCTCTCTCTCTCTCTCTCTCTCTCATTACTACCTTGTGATCATTTCAGAAACTGAAACAGCCACTCCAGCTGCGTCGGGCTATTAAAAGGCTATACATGCGCCGCTCGTTTCTCGCTTGATGTCTCTCCTGCTGGTCGTCATCAGCTATCTGATAATCGACCTCTCTTCCTCGTCTTCACCTTCATCCTCGTCTTCTCCCTCCTCCGTTACACTCAGCTCCCTTTCTTTCAGCTAGTACTCTTTCCCTCTTCTCCTCTCCTTTTCGGTTTCGAGAAACCGCTTCTCTCCTTTCAGGTAAATAACTGTACCTCTCTCTAATCGGTTTCATACACGTGTCTAATCGCGCACATGGGCCACACACAGATCACCCAAAATCATCTATCCATCATCTTACTCAAGCCAGCCGAACGTCCCTGCCAAGACTGGACTGCAGGACCCCTCTGAGAAGTGCAGCCGCTTCAGGATCTATCTGTGCCAGTCGATCAAGCCGTGTGTAGTTGTCCTTCATCGCTGCAGCAGGTTGATCTTCCCTTTCACATTCATCGTCGTCGGTTGCTCTCTCCTCCTCAACCTCGATGCTCTCTTCGTCCTTGCCTTCGGTTGAGCTGCTTCTACTACCAGTGGCCACCATCCCCTCTTCTCGCTTCTTTCTGCGGCGCAGCAGCAGCATGCTCTTCCTTCGACTGAACCTGGTTGCCAAACCCTGTTGCAAAAGAGACGTTCCTAGCCTCAACCTGAGGCCGCCTTTCTTCCGCCTTCCACCGCTCCCCGCAATCCCCTTCAAATTGATGTTGACGTACGCAACAACAACCTTTTCCCCCGCCGCTTCCGGCTGTGCTGCTCTGTCCACCAGAACGTGATTACCTCTCTTTTCTGCCAAGGCATTGCAAACGCCTCCTCCTCCTCCTCCTCCTCCTCCTCTATTCTTTGCAGCGATAGGTACTATCATCTTGCTGCCTGATTCCTGCGCTCTAACAACCATCTGCCTGACAGCCGTCTGCGAAATGGGCACGATCGACTTCCTCCGGTGGTAGCTTCTGGGAGAAACAGCGGTATGCTGATGACGAGAGAGTCGGCAGCTCTGTCTAGCAGATGACCCAGATGACATCATCATGGCCTCCATGCCATTCTGGGTGGCACCCGATGCCACGTGCCTTATATGTCTGCAACTCCTGCTTGCCGCCGCACACACTGACGATGAAGTTTGATTGGACAACCGACCGGTAGGTGATGAACCCCAAGTGGTCGTCGACCGCATGGTGGACGACCATACCGTTGTTGTCGCTGTCCTTTCCCGCCGGCACCTTCCGCATCCGCATTCATTCTTGACACCCCCACTCTTATTGCCGCTGCCAGCGTTGCGGCGCAAATTATTCAACCTCGAAGAGCAGTTACTCGTGTTGATACTCCCAACCCCATCCCCACTCCTGAAGAGAGCATCGGAACAGCTGTCATGCACGGCACATCGGCCATTGTTTGCGCTGCTCCTGATGTTCCCACCGCTGCTGCTGGTGCGCATATTGAGCCGAGAAGAGCCGCCGCTGCTGCTGCTGCGTCCGCCCGCGACGCCACCGCCGCCAACTCTTTCACGGCCGGGGATGAGAGATCTGGAGGAGCAAGGAATACGGGCAACAACACACCTGCTCTGGCTGGCGCTGCAGTTTTCGCACTGTCCGCAGTTCTCTGGCATTTTGCCAGCAACACGCGTCGAGGAGGAGGATGGATTCAACCCACCACCACGACCGCTGATCGCGGTACCGACCGCCCCCCATCTCTTCCTCATTACACCCTCACTCCCCGGAGACCTGACCGTTGACAAGCACAAGGACCGCGACAACGAGGAGGGCGAAGCCGATAAGGAATTCGCGTGGTGGTGGCAGTTGCACTTTCCTCCTCCAAAACTGCTTTTGCCAGATGGCGACGTAGTGCCGGACTTGCCCAACGATGCGCACACGTCCGCATTTTCAGACGCTCGCAGCCGGTGTGGAGATGCACAAGCAATCGACTGCTGCTGCTGCTGCTGCTGCTGCTGCTGAGAAAGGCCTGCAGAGGTGCCCGACAGCCATGCGGGAAATGGAGGACCGTGGCTACCATCCACAGATTTGACAATCGTATTTAGATCTGAGTGGGCAGCATTCAAATAGGCCGCATTTTCCACAACTGTAGAGGCTTCTAGAGTGCTGCCAGATGAGAGATGCCCCGCCATTGATCGCGAGGTGGTAGACGACGGTCCCCACCAACAAGGGAGATTTAGATCAAAAGGAGAGTTCTTGAAGAATGGGGGGAGGTGGTGGTGGATTGCTGTACCCGCGCCTCCAGGAGCTGAGGAGTCGGACGATGACGTGGCGACCACGTGGCCGCCGCCGCCGCCAGGCAGCAATGGAAGCTGACTAGGGGGTGGTCCTGCAGCAAATGGACCCCCACCTCCTGAGGGAACGCATGCCGCCGACACTGCGGTGGTGGACGGATTGCAGGTAAACGAGCCCATGGTGGTAGCAATAGCAGTGCCTTCTACTGAAGAGGCTAAGTACTGCTGCGCATTAGGAGGTGGATGAGGGACTCCCATGTACATCGGATACCCGACAGTGGAGGCGACGGCTCCCGGCCCATGGTGGAATGCAGGAAAGGCATGAGCGGAAGAAGTGACAGCAGTTGAACAGTTGGCTGGAGCCGTGGGCAGCGCGCAGAAGGACTGACCTAAGCACCTCTTCGCCCCTCTAGAAGGCGGCATGGTGATGCTTATGCGTTGCCGCTTGACCGTCTCCGGGGAACTCCCCGAGGAGTTGCCCCCCGAGGAGGACGGCGACATCGTCATTGATGCCAGCGCCTCCATCACAGGCGCAAGGCCGGGGGGGGACAGCTGGGAAGGCATGGTTCGCCCCCCGAGTACGGTGACTGCTGAAGGAGTGCCTGCAAGTTGACGACTGCAGTGCACCCCGTGCAGGTGATGCAGCCCGTCACGACCGGCGAGCGACTTCGCCGGCGGCGGCGCATTCGATGTCGTACACGGCAGGTTCGTCTGGCAAAGAGAATGACGGGCAGAAGCAGTTGCACTCGGGGGGGGGGAAGTGGAAGGGGTATGGACATGTGGAAATTCTGAGGGTGGGGTGACAAGGACAGGACGATCATTACGGACGGCGACATCAAGGCCGGCCGGCAAAGCAGTCGCGGCTGGAGCAGCAGCAGCAGCAGCAGCAGGAGATGATTGGAGCGAGGCTCGTGATGCACTCGCTATGATAGCAGTGGCCAAGGCTGGGGCAGCGGTAGCCGCAGCCCTGGCAAGGGCGGCAGTCCTCTCAGGCCCTGAGAGAGGAGAGGCCCCAGCACCATTTGCCACGGTCTTCGCCGCAGAAAGAAGAGGAGAGAGTGCTTTTGCCGCATTCGCGGGGACGCCAGCATATGCCGCATCGGTCCTCGGGTCCGAGACGCTAGACGCAACAGAGAGCAGCAGCTTCTCGGATGCAGCAGCAGCTAAGGAATGCGCGGCGAGGGATTGCCCGGCTGTCCCTGTTGTTGCTTCAGTCCGATTAGCAGCAGCAGGAGGACATCGAGATGCCAGAAAACGGCCCTCTCGTCCTTCGTCGTCTCCAAGGCTGGCTGCTGACGCCGACGTGGCTTGCCCCGCCTCGAAATCGAGTGCCGTTGATGATGCCTGGTTCACTGTTATGTCAGCGCCTTCAAGAGAGGAGGCCAAGGACGAGCAAGGAGAGGCCGGGAGGAGAGATGTCGGCTTCGGTATTAACAATGGCGGCGACTTGTTGACGACATCCTGAAGAGATGTCAGCGAAACTACGGACGATGACTCGAGTGCTCGGGAGGGGACCACTCTCGCGGAAGAGAACGGGGACGATCCGGGGGAACGAGTGCCAGAGGAAACAGCAGCGCCTGAGTCCAGGCGAACGACCGTTGGACTCGTTGAGAGTACTTCCTTCTGCGACGGAGGCTGCGAAGAGGACGGACTGGCTCGCATCGCATTTGCCTGATGATGTGGAAGTATTACGGGTGACGGCTGAAGCTGCCGACCTCCTCGCTCATCGAAGGCCGTGTTCATGGGGACAGGGGGCGGACGGAGGGGAGTAGAACTAGGTCTTCCGGAAGGATCTAGTCCGTCGACAAGAGAATCAAACAAAGGATTGAGCATGACGGAGAAGGAAAGGGGGAGGGACGGGCAAAGAAGCGGAGACGAGAGCGGAGACGAGGACGTGGAGCAAGACGATTGCACGGCGGCACTCGCCGGTCGAGCAGCGGTTGAACCCGATCTTCCCTGCGCAGTGGGCGACGCCGCCGGGGTCTGAGACGTCGCCAACCCCGCCGTCACCGCCGTGCTAGGCGAGTTTTGGCGCGCATTGCCAATCATGCGCTGGCCTGGGGAAGATGCCGGCAGCGCAGGCGCGACGGTGGCAGCTTGAGCGCCGCTACCACGTCCAATTTCGGTTGATCTGCCCGGGGAAGATGCCGGCAGCGCAGGCGCAACGGGGGCAACTTGAGCGCCGCTACCCGTCGCCCCCGCACTCTCCCCCGCCATAGTCCCCATCGACGGCGGAGTCGGCGGCTTGCTTCCGCATACTGGCAAGCGATGAACACCAGGCGACGCGCCAGTTTGCCCCGCCTCCGCAGGTGACTGAGCGGATGCGGCTGCGGAAGCCGCGGCGATTGCGGCGGAAGCAGCAGGGCGTCCGCGCTCCGACGCCGCCGGCGGCGCAAAGGATGAAGCATTTGGCGCTGTCCCTGTGGCCGCGGCACTCGGGCTTCCCCCTAGACGGGACATTGCTCCCCCCACTGGGCGGCTCTCCTTGCGAACTGCCGTGCCCGCGACATTGCTCCCCACGCTGGCGCCGACTATGCTTAGCATGCCTCCTACGCTCTTCTGGCTCAACTGCAGCGCCGATGAAGACGTGGACGGTAGAGGCGATGACGACATGCAGGATACTGATGGCTTCGGCGATTGCTGATGAGATGTCTGGGAGGTAAAGAGAGGCTTGCATATCGATGACTTGATACTTGGAGACGCAACGCGCTCTGCGGGCGACTTCGGAGGAGGAGGAGGAGGATTGTAGGAGAGTCTCGTGTTTGCTGTGGAAGGCGAGAACGGCGTGCGACATGAAGAGGAGGTGGCTGAAGTGCGGGAGGAGGAGGATGACGTTGATACTAATGACGCCACTGCTGTTCCGTGCTTCACGACGTGACCATCCTTTTGCCCCGCAGTTGTTGACTTTCCGCTCACAGATGAAGCGGTAATCGTAGCCTTCTCCACGAGCTGAATGTCGTACACGCCATACGACAGCTTCTTCACCCCCTCCCCAGCAGTGTCATCGTCATCTTCATTGGCATTCTCCACGCGAGCAGATTTTTCATGACTATCCCACCATGTCTCCACATCCTCCGCCTCCTCCTCGCAGGAGGACAAATCGACCCACTTCGGAGCGTCAATAGTCTCGTAAAACGAGTCCAACCTACCATCTCGGCGCACTTTCGAAGGATCCGCCTCACGGGATCTTCCGTTTCCTCCCATCTGCGGCTTACACTGACCGACGGAAGTCATTCTCTCTCTCTCTCTCTCTCTCTCTCTCTCTCTCTCTCTCTCTCTCTCTCTCTCTCTCTCTCTCTCTCCCGCGCGGACGCGAAGGGCGCTCCCTCGCTCGATCTGTATGAAGTGGTTTATATAGCGTCGAGAGATGGCGGCCGTTCTGACGTGTCAAACGAAGAGGAAGGAGAGATCAGACGTCAAGCGAAGAGAAGGGGCGAAGAGGAAGGAGATATCAGACGAGAATCAAGCAATGTATTCTACAAAAGAGAGAGAGGTGCGCGGCGAAGAATATGTAGCATCACTGACAAACGAGGTCGACAGACAGAACGATTTGGCTTTAGTTTCAGCAAAAGGTGAAAGACACGGCAGGATGGGCAACAACACCATCTTCTACTTTCGATTTACTTCGAGTAATAACTAATGATGATATATTCTTTCAGAAAACGCAGGAAATCGTCCATCGTCTTCATCGCTACTTTTCAAATCTCATCCCACTCCTCACTCTCCTCACTTCTTCTCTTTCCTCCTTTTCCCTCCCATCAGCACTTTCTCTCCGCTTTCCTCTCTCACTCAGAGGTGCTTCTCTCAGTACCACCTCTCTCTCTCTCTCTCTCTCTCTCTCTCTCTCTCTCTCTCTCTCTCTCTCTCTCTCTCTCTCTCTCCCACTCTCTCTCTCTCTCGCCACCATGCAAGATCCTCACAACTGACGCGAAGTCTAACGAGGTGGCCGCCGAGCCGTGACGTCGACCGACCTTGGCACTCCTTTCCGCTGAACAGTGCGCCGTCGTCGAAAACTAAGCGTGATGTGAAAGTGAACAGTTAGCACATTGCAGACAGCAAGTGATTGGGGGAAGCAAACAGAGAGAGATAGAGACAGAGAGAGAGGGAGAGAGACAGAGAGAGAGAGAGAGAGAGAGAGAGGGAGAGAGAGAGAGAGACGGAGATGAGAGAGTTGGGAGACTGAAGACAGTGCAAGTGCGTGGGAGATCTGATGGCATTAGAGATCGAGAGCGGGACACCGGCGCGAACGGGCAAAACCGTTTGAATGAGACGGATGTCATTCTTTCGTATTTTCCCGCGACGGCACCGTCCTCATTTGCATTGCCTTTTTTTTTCCCTCTTTTGCCTTTTCCCGCCGAGGTTAGACGGTTGGGACCGCAGGGACCAGTGCGGCCAGCGCCATCTACCAGCCCCAAAGCCCCAACGCACCCGCTCAGGACGTTTCTCAGTACCCTCTCTGGGCGTGATCACGCTCAGATGCATCGAGAATGTGCCATAATTGGAGTCAGATGCATTTAGGAAAGTCCTAGGTAGTGTGCAAATGACCCCAGGCGTTCCCACCGCCGTAGATCGGTCCAATCTCAACGGCTCCGGTTTGTTCTATTCTTGAATGGAATTGAATTGCGTTCGACATGTAGGGCCTCGCGACACTCCTCACCAAACGTGCAAAATAAAGGACGTACTTTCCGGAGAATACGGCTAAATGCGGCCACCTGCCATATACTTTTTGTCGTTTTCACATTTGATAATTGGCGCGGCGAGGCCCGCAGCGGCTGGGCGGGGAACCGGCCCCACAAATTTCGTGTTTTTTCCACTACGTCTTTCCGCCGATGGCGGCGTTAGAACCTGCTCCCGCTAGCGGGGCAAGCGGAAACCGACGCTGCCCTTCGCGGCAGGGGAAGGTCAGGCATAATAAGGCCTCGCAGCACTACTCTCCACATGCACAGAAAACAAAAATCATGGCCGTGTATATTTACAAATTCTAGAGGCAGATTCACTCCCGTTTTGCGCATTTCGAGAGCAGTGCAGCGAGGCCCATAGACACCCCTGCCGCCTGCGCCCGCCGTAGAGGACCCGGCACCCCTGCTGGACCGTGTGATGCCTCGCCCCCAACCTTTTTTTTTTTTTTTTTGGTTCGCTGGTTCAGTTCTCCCCAACGACCAGTAACAGGAACAGGAACAGGAACAGGGGCCAAGTCCCATTTACCTGTATCTTTCATTACAGACCGCAGATTGCAGAGATCTACGGTCAAGTGCAGGATTTCGGCAAGTGGGTCTTGGCTCCACGACCAGGAAGCAATGATGTCCTTCCTGCGGGCCAGTACCGGACTGAGGGAAAACTTTTTCTCCCGTTAGAAAACGTTCATTACTTAACAAGATTATATGATTGGCTAATTAAAAAGGTCTTAGCACCAGTTAAATCGCCCCTAGACAGCAAATCGCCCCTCGACGGGTAAAAAAAATTAAAAAAAAAAAAAAAAAAAAAAAAAAAAATCGCCCCTAGATGGGGGCTACGTCCCACTTACACGAATTAAGCGATATGGACCGTAGATAGCGAAGATCAACGGCCAGAAACCTCTTAATCCGTGCAAGGGGGACCTAGCCCCGTGTAAAAGATTTAGCGGGTTCGAGCTCGTGTACTCTGGGGCAATTCCGAGCTTGTAGGAATTACAGGAGGTGCTGTCCAATGATGATGAAGATCTATGGGTCAGTTAGCGGGGTTCGAACCTCGGACCTGTGAATGGGTGAGTAAGGGCCAGATCCCACTGGCAACGAGGATTGGAAGAAGTGTCTGAATCTGGACCTGTTCCACGCAGATGTGCAGAAAAGTAGATCAATCACAATTTTTTGCACCTGCGCACAAACACGTCCACATTCTACAATCGTCTTTGCCAGTGGGATCTCGCCCTAAATAAAAAAGGACAGGCCCGGCTGGTGCTTTGTGCGCGCTCTCAGAAAGCACGTACCTGGGCGGTTAAGTGGCCAAGTGCATGGATGTTCACATATTGCTAAAATAAACCTGAGCGTCCGCTCTAACTAAACGTGCATATTACTAACATAAACATGGGAAATGTTCGCATAACCACTTTCTTTCCTGAATGTATTTGGAATGCAATTCCGTCTATAGTCGTGCATTTGGATGGAAAAAGATTGTCTGCGACGATGGGCTTAACTACGGCGGTAGTTAGGCACTCGCACACCGTGCGATTTCTATGGATGAATATGGCCGCAATATAGGCACAATTCGGTCGGAAAAAAAAGGTGGTTAGTATGATTACGCGCTCATCCAGAGTCATATACGTGTGCTCTTCTCGCAGCTGGACCAGGGAACTACGGCGTACGCGTGTGCGTGTTATTTTGGTCTTTTACTTCGCCGCTGGACTGACAACAGGCCAGTTTGCTACCGTCCAAAATGCAGGCTCGTCCGCACGAAAACGACAAAACCAGATCGAGTCTGATCGCCTATTCTCGGTAAAAATAGAGCAACCAACGGTCATTTTCCCTTAGTCAATTCTGCCTCTGCATTTCCACTGTACCAGTACCAGTTCCCTAGAGTAGCTACTCTACTCTTAGGCCATTGGTATGCCCACCAGTAGCTGAGGCCTTCGGTATGCCCGCCACCGAAGCGACCACCCACCGAAGTTCTGGCCACTGCGGCGTAACTACAGGTAGGATCGGATCGGGACCCGTCAGGACCTACTATCTAGGTCGGGCGTCTGTCGACCCTCTGGTTCTCGGTCTATTTCTTGTTGTGCCATCTGTGCAAAGTTTTCCCTTTTTTTTATTAGAAAAAACAAAAAGAAAAGGGTAATCCAAGCAATTGAATTACCTGTCGAGTCTGGATAGGACGGCCTTTCAGGCCTTTTTTTTTTTCTTGTGTGTGTCATTATAGTATTACGGGGAACCCCGTAGCAGCCACATCCGTGCTCAAGCCTCCAACAAGGGGACATGCGGGAGCTGCACCCACCAGCAGAGGCGATACCTGCTACAGCAGGTGGGCCGGCCAGGGGTCAGCCGGTAGCATCAGGACCGAGCTTCTTCGATGGGCCAGTCATTGTGCCTTCCCTCCGGTCCCCTTCCCCCTATGAGCATCAGCAGTCTCTGCTCAAGGCCACTCGGGAGGACCAACGGCATATCTCTAGGTGGCGGGTGCCAAGCTTTCCCAGGAAGGTACATGACACCAATGGGGAATGAACCCAAGACCTCCTGATGCCACTTGCATCCCTTACATACTGAGCTAGGCCGCTGGATATTTGCGAATTTTCTAATCTCCGTGCGCAAATGTGAAAAAAAAAAAACACGATTGGAAATCAGAAAACGACATGGATCAAGATTCAGGTTCGTCCATGTGGAAATGACTGTCCTGCGATACTCTACCGTAGGAGGAATCGGACGGTAGTGATTAGTCCTAAGCTGGAATCGGACGGTAGTGATTATATATATATATATATATATATATATATATATATATATATATATATAGATATCGTCAAACAGAGCTGCCTGGTAAACTGTAGGCAGAGAGGAAAAGAGGACAGGAAACAAGGGGTTGTGACAAACTGTTTCATTGGAGTTTCACCAACTCATCAGGAGGTTGAACCCTTAATAGTCTGCAGAATCCCCTAATTGATTACATTGTAAGTGATAATCCACCTTAACCTCGGTTGTGGTTAAGCATCAACGACTGCCCGAGAACCGATACTTGAGGTGGGCACCAACCACTTCCCTCAAGGTATCCGTGATGAAAACGCAATCACTCACCCACACCAGATGGAAAACTCTACAAATTGTCGGTTCACACCCCATCACAAGCCAACAAAACACCCACGAAACAAAGAAAGGTTTGTCACAACCATAAAATATACGTTAGACACGCCGCTGGCACTAGAGGCACAACATGGCCGAGTAGTGACGGCCACGACCATTGTCGCTTGACCTAACCGTAGAAAACTGTAGCAGGGTGCTAGCCAAGTCGTGGTATATATTGTCAAACAGAGTTGCCCTATAATCCGTACGCAGAGAGGGAGAATAGGACAAGAAATAAGGGACTATGACAAACTGTTTCGTCGGAGTTTCATCGACTCATCGGGAGGTTGAACCCTGAATAGTCTGCAGAATCCCCTAACTGATTACATTGTAAGTGATAATCCACCTTAACCGCGGTTTTGGTTAAGCATCAACGATTGCCCCAGAAATGATACCTTGAGGTGGGCACCAACCACTGCCCTTAAGGTATCCGTGACAAAAATCAAAGCGGACTATCACTCACCCACACCAGATGGGAAACTCTACAGAATATCGTCATATATAC